ACCTTCTTGTAACACTCATATCAAGGTCACAATGATTGCTAGGCCACTGCTCACCCGAGATCCGCAGAAACTATGCGCCTAATTTGACGTCGATAAATTTATTATTCTGAATTCATACGAAAGACCTCTTGTTGCTATACATTAAATTATCTCAATATTCTAAAACAATGCTAAGAGTGACCAGAAAAAAATGAAATTTGAAAAAGAAAGTGCCTTACGTGGAGCCACAAATAATAATCCTACCGCCCTGAATTCCTCACAGATATTTAAGAGTGTCAATATATCTAAAATATACATAAAAAAGTGCCGTACGTGGAGCCACAAATAATAATCCTAACGCCCTGAATTCCTCACAGATAATTAAGTGTGTCAATATTTCTAAAATGTGCATTCGTTAATGATCTTTGCCGTTGCAAAATCACAAGTTTAAAATTATTTACTGATTTTCGAATTTAGATCACATATACATCAACCTTTGGTGAATGTTAGAAATCCATTATCATTGTAAATGCACTTATTTACGTAGAAATAATCAAATATTTGTAAGCAAAAGAATGTAATTAAATTTTTTCCAATACAGTATTAATCTTATCACCATTTATGTCATAATTCGCTATTTTACTTCATTTACAACTTTATGTTCTTTGATTTGAAACTCAATTTTATTTTCTTCGTATCAACTGAGAGAATTAGTGCAGTATTAAATATATTTATTACTATTACCGCCATAATAATTAATAATAACAGCACTAGTAGTTGTAATAGTATCATAAATAACAATCTACATTGTAAGAAAACCCACTAAGTAGAATAACATATAAATCATTCATGTTCTTTCATTTTTCCACAGCTGTGCTTTCTCGCCCTGTCCCTGGCCATCATTGCTTCTGTCAATGGCAAACCAGAGAACTCACATACAGAAGAGAATGCTGAACCAGAATTAACACCTGCAGAAAACAGCCCTTCAAAGAGGTCGCTGCCAAGATATCGACACGGATACGGACACGGACACCCACACGGCCTAAGCCACGGATATGGACTCAAGGGCGAACATTTCGGCGTCCGGAATGAGATTCCTCAGATCATCAACGAAGGCGTGGAAATCTACCAGCCTCATCACGCTGGTATCAAATGGCCTGTACCAGTTGAGACCTCCTATTCTGTAGTAAAAGAAGTCCCGGTCCCTGACCCATACCCTGTTGAAGTCAGAGTTCCAGTCGATAGACCTTATCCCGTTGAAGTGCCTGTCGCCGTCCCTCAACCTCAGCCATATCCTGTCAGGGTCCCAGTTCCAGTCCGTGAACCGTACCCTGTCGAAATCCAAGTCCCTGTCGATCACCCCTACCCGGTTGTTGTAGATCGACCTGTTCCCGTCGTTGAACGAGTACCAGTCGAAGTGCCAGTTCCCGTCGAAAGGCCCTATCCCGTTGAAGTGAGAGTTCCTGTACCCAACCCGGTCCCCGTTGAGGTTCCAGTCGACCGGCCATATCCTGTGTACGTTGACAGGAGGATCCCTGTCCCTGAACCCTACCCTGTCGAAGTGCAAGTTCAGGTACCCGTCTACATCCCAATTGAAGTGCCTGTCGAGGTACCCGTTGATCGTCCTTATCCCGTTGAAGTTCAGGTACCAGTGTCTGAACCTTGCCCAGTGGAAGTCCCTGTAGAGGCGACTTTCCCTCAGGTCTACCAAGCAGATCCATACCTACCTACTGGAAATATTCCTTTCTCTTTCGGAAATCTAATTCCCCAGACACAGTATCCCGTTCCACAACTTTACCCGGGGCATCTGGATTATCCTTATCAGGGACAAGTTCCCTCTGCACCCTTGCCCGGATATATTCCCTCACACTCATGGAATAATCTACCAATTCACCATTCGGGTCACTATGGAAAAATCCACTAAACCTAAAATAACTTATTTAAGTTTTTTTAAACCCCTCAGGCCAAATGAGCTGGACTTATTAATCAAATAATTTAATATCTATTTGTTATGCATTTTTCAACTTTCCTTTCATATATTCAGTAGTGGTGAAAATAAAGACTTCATGTAACAGATTCAATGTGTTCATTCTTTTGCTTACTTCATACGCGAACAATTAAAATGCGCAAGTTAACTGTGTGACGTCATAACTGTGCAGTTCATACAGTTAAATTGTCCAGTACTTGAACTGAGTAACATTACGACAATTTCCCTAGTAATTTACCTAGTGAAATTCATCATGATACGTGGAACCACAGTTTTAACTTTTTATTTCTTGTATTTAATCAAGGCTAAAATAAATAACCAAATAAACCCTTTTGGTTTTCCCCATCTTCAAGGACTAGCACATCGCTTAGGTCACTCAGAAGCTGTGACTGAAGAGAACGCAGTTTATTTATTACGTGTGTAGCAACAGAGATTCATTATTCAGATCAGTTCATTTCCAAATTTATTTTGTACAGTTTAACTGCGCATTTTAAATTATGGTCTATGGAGCGCTTAATGTAATATGCACACCTTAAGACTCCAATTAGTATTAACCCAAATGGGGTATATTTAAAAGTGTCTACTTGTTTTAAACTTTCTCAAAATGGTAAACCCCTAAGTATTCGATTACAAATTTGTCGAGAGGTTAAGTGCTTTTAATCCTTGAAAACTGTGCATTTTTCTGCGCTACAACGCTGATACCTGCACGGCTAGACGTTTACAGGCTGAATTTTAACTTAGTCCACCGAGGGCGACAATGGAATAATAAAAGATTACATTTTTTAAAGTTGCTTGAACCTATGTTCTAACACCTATAGTCCATGTATGGAATATTTTAGTATACTTTGATAAATTTAAAGCAATTAATTAAGAAATGATTTTCCCTATTTAGGTAAGGTAGAGGTTCTTCTGAATCAATCTGAACAGGGGTTGCATAAAACTTGGCCCTTCATTACCTCGACTTAGTATTTCAGAGATAAATGTTGAATATGAGGTTCATGGAAAAATTTCTCATTGTTATATTTACAAACTACTAGGCCTACCTTCTTACCTGCGTGTAATGGAAATGCAAATTTTAAAAATAATTTTATTCTGTGAATTTCGTTCCATTGTAAACAGCTTACTGAGGTTAATATATGAAATAATA